TAGATAAAGAAACTGGTGTAAGTACCAAAATATTGTGCCTTTCAACATGACTTTGAGATAACGCAGTAACCTCATACGAGGTTTTCAAATAGATTTTCTTAAAAATAAGCATGTTGGAAGGGCAGCTGACTGCATAATTTTGAGCAGAAGCATAAAATTTACTCCTTGTAGTTTAGGTGCTCTTATTGTGCATCCCCTGGCCTACCACTGTCTTGTGATTAATGAAGTGGAAGGCACAGAGGAGAGCACAAGACAACAACTAATGGCTACTAAAAAATGCAGACATGCAGGTTTGACTCCATAACACCAAATGAACAAAGCTGTTCAGACTGCATAATTTTGTATTAACAGTTTCATGACAGATTTTGACCAGAGATCCATGTATGGCTTTTCCGCTGTGACAAATATGTATTTGCTATATACATTTCAGGACAACGTGTAGTCACAATGAAACGAACGTGACTGACTCATGAGCTCAGCAACAGGAACACTTCAAGGGTGGATTGGTTTTGGGAAGACTAACAAATGATATCAGGTATTCTGGCGTCTAATCACTATGTGTAAACCTGTGTTAGAATTGAACAAATATATGAGACATCTTTTTCATACTTGAGGTTTAGGCCTGAGAGAGACATAAATCTGTGTTCTGTAATGATTCCTGTATTTGCAATATTTGTTTCATATTTTTTTTTTTTTTTTTTTTTTTTTCAACTCTGAACTTCAACACAAAAGATGATCAAATATTTACAATTCAAAAAACCTTGGTGGATTTGCTTTATAGCTATTATCCCCTCCTGGGAAAGGGAGCATGCATGGAGTAAGTTCTCACTCTCCTTTCTTTCTTGCTTCTACTCCTGAAAAGAAAGAAAAACCAAAAAGGACAGGGAAAGGGGAAGGTGTGTGTGCAGGAATTTAGAGGTTTATGTTAGTTTATACTGCATGCATGGGTTCATAGTTCTTTATTGTTCACACTCAGTTGAGAGTGATTCCTGATTACATTATGTCTAATGGGTGCTTACCTTGCCTTCTCTACACTAGTAAATATCATCAGATCCAATTAATACTGTGCATCAATTACAGATCCCTTATAGTTCTCTCTGTACATAGCTCAGGGACATCTCAGCTGATTCCTTTATCTTATTGTGGCTTCATTTACTTTAGTCTCACTTACTTATAAAGACATAAACCACACAGTCTTGCCAAAACATTTCTGAAACTTTGGAGCACTCTACAAAACTGACATGTCTCAAAAATACTGAGAGAAAAGATGTCAGATCATTTCATATTAAGAAACCTCTCAGTAACCTCTGATAACACCTCAACTGTAAACTACAGACTTTGACAGACAATTCCTATGGTTCCTTTGCATCTTTTGCTCTTCTTGACATAATCTTACTCACTCCTTTTGGGTGAGAAATGAGAAATGTTTACTCTTAGAATCTAACTGAAACTTAGTAGTTTAAAAATAGCAAAATGTTCTTTTTATTAAATTAGAAAAAAAAAAAATTAACAGTAACATTTTGTCTTTTCAATCAATCAGTCAGTCTGTCTCTGGCACGCTCTGCATGAACATACTTCACACATTTTTATTATTTGATTGTTTCTGTCTTTCCAAAGCTGTGTTTTCTTGTCAGTGAAAATAATGCATCAGAATCATAAAAATCTACCTTGGCAGCCAGAAGATGAGAATCATTCTTTGAATAAATTAAACTTGAAAATCAGTCCTCAAATAAGGTTTACTCCTCTGATGCTTAAAAGGAGACAATGATACTAGGTAAAGCCAGAGTGCAATTAGAAATAAGAAACTTTAAGATTGTCTTCATTTCTGCACATCGATTTAATGCGCTTTTTGGGTTATATTTATTATTCATAGAATCATAGAATGGATTGGAAGGGAATTTAAAGACCGTCTAGTTCTAACCCCCCTGCCATGGGCAGGGACACCTTCCACTAGACCAGGTTACTCAAAGCCTCGTCCAACCTGGCCATGAACACTTCAGGGAGGGGGCAGCCACAACCTCTCTAGGCAATGAAGAATTTCTTCCTTATGTCTAATCTAAATTTACCCTCTTTCAGTTTAAAACCGTTAACCCCTCATCATGTCACTATAGTCCCTGATAAAGAGTCCCTCCCCAGCTTTTCTGCAGGCCCCCTTTAAGTACTGGGAAGCCACTATAAGGTCTCCCCAGAGCCTTCTTTCCTCTAGGCTGAACAACCCCAACTCTCTTAGCCTGTCCTCATAAGGGAGGTGCTTCAGCCCCATCATCTTCGTGGCCTTCTCTGGACTCATTCCAACAGGTTCTTGTCCTTCTTATGTTGGGGGCCCCAGAGCTGAACTAATTAACTTAGTCCCTTTAGTAAAATCATTATGGAGCACTTGTAAGACCCAGACACAGTTCTGCAAAACAAAATTAACTAGAAGGAGAGAAAATGTAAAAATATTAAAATACGGAACTGAGGAAAAACTTAGCAGCTGCTATCATCTAATTCATGTGGTCCAAAATCTACTGTCAACTATCCAAGTGGCATGGTAAATATGAAACCATAAAACAGGTTGAAAAGAGGCAATTATTTGTTCATCAGTAAAATTATGAATATTGGCTCTTATATTCACTTGTTTCACTGCTTACTACCCTTCTTCAAAGCCATCTGTCCCATAAGGTGGAAGCAACAGGTGGCAAATTTCTTCTGTGGGATACTTATCTTTGATGTAAGTTAATTTAATTTCTTTCCAAGACAGGTAATTTTCAAGTTCTACATATTGTAACTCCACTGACACCTATGGAATAATGCTGATTTGCACCATTTGCATCTCCCCCAAACTTTTATTTGTTTATTTGTTTCTTTACCTTGCATGTATAAAATAGTGTTGTTTTTTTTTTTTCACAAGAGTCATTTATGTTGAAACCCAAGCATATGGAAGCAAACATATGCACTGTCAATGACATCTACAAGCTCTGAAATAAATCCAAGGTTAAAAGAGACACAAATTTCATTCATTTCCATAGGAACACACATACTAGTGTTTTGGTTTTGCTTGGTCCTATATTAATAAATACTTCTGAAGAAACCTTCTAGACCAAATTGTTGAAAGCCTGACAAAAAGTGGTTACCAAATTGTCTTGCAATGTCTTGGCAGATAGAAAGCATGAAGAGACATAGTTAAAGTGACATTAGAGAACAGAGGAAGAGATGAGGCTGGGTGAGGCAAAATCTTAGTCATGAATAACAGAAGTACAATGTGACAAAACAGAAGAAGAGGAAAAAGCAGCAGGAAAAGTCATTGTCTTGGTGAAAATAATAATTTTAGCCTATAGGATGGGAACACTCTTTGGGTCAATGAGGCTACCACTGGAAGAATGAATTGGAATTGTGATGGAGTGTTCAGATTACAAAAGGAGTTTGAAGAGAGCAGTTCTTCCATGCAAAGCAGAATTTTTCTAATATTTTTTTTCATCTTGAAATATCTGGGGATGGTGTTGCAGAATGACAGATGCTGATCTAGGATCCTGATCACAATAGCAAGGTGGAGCATCAGACAATTCAGATATTAGTTTTGGTGCAACCTTAGGCAATATATTTCACTTAGATTTATGTGCAATCCTTCCAGTACTTTTTTTTTTTTTTTAATTAACATTTCCATAAAACACTAATTTTAATAATGGGAAATATTAAATTTGAATTTTGATCATCCTTGTATAGGAGCAGATTCCTATTTACTATTCACACTAAATGATACAGTGTATGGGGTTGTATGTGGCGGGGTTTTGGTAACAGGGGAGGGGCTTCAGCTGTGGCTCCTGTGAGAAGTTTCTTGAAGCTCCCCACCTCCAAGTCAGACCCACATCTTGCCAAGGTCAAGCCAATTAGCGATGGTGGCTGCCCCTCTGAGTTAAGGTATTTAAGAAAGGGAACCTGAGATGAGGAGGAATTGTGAGGGAGATACCTATGCAAACACTGAGGTCAGTGCAAGAAAGGAGGAGGTGAGAGGGAGGTGCACTGAAGCAGAGACCCATTGAAGCCCGTAGTGAGAGGTCAGGCTGTGCCCCTGCAGCCCATGGAGGTCCATGGTGGAGCAGATGCCCACCTGCAGCTTGTGGAGGACCCCACACTTCAGCAGGTGGCTGCACCAGAAGAAGGAAGAGACTCTGAGAGATGCTTGTGCTGGATTAATCTGTGGCTGGGAGTACTGCAGCCCATGGCAGGGACCCGTCCTGGAGCAGTTTGAGAAGAGCTGCAGCCCTGTGGGAAGGACTCATGTTGGAGAAATTAATGGATGTTTTGCTGATTAAGGTTACCAAATAAACTCGGATACCAGAGTGAAAAGAGTATTTTACTGGTGATACCCAAATAATGTAACAGTGTAATACAGAAGTCATGCAGTAAGAAAAGGCAGAATAGCGCACCTAAAGCAACAAACAGGAAAATGCAGGGTAATGCATCAAATCATTACTACACGAGAGAGAGAATAGTGATTAAGACAGATCCATCACCACCTGCATCACCCAGACCCGCAGTGGCTGGGCAGCCCCGGTTACAGCGAGGGTTTGCAGAGCCTGTCCCGGCAAGGGGGAAATCCTACGCGGGGCGTCCACCCATAGGTGAGGCTGCCAAAGTCGCTGTGAGTGGGCCCAGCCTTATATACCAGAGATCGACAGGCCAGAATAGCTGGCACCTTTGTTTTGAGTGGAAAATTTCAGGTTTCATTCTCCTGTTGGATTCCACCCAAAGCCTGGCCAGGGCTCGGGGGGGAGACCAGGGGAGTTTCTAACAAGGCCGAATAGGTGGGTTCTCAGCCCTGAACAAGGCTAAACAAGGGAAGCTGGATACATTCTCTCAGCATTTCGTCCTCACTACTGATTATATTCTAGGCTGCATATCTGTCACTAGCGAGTTTACATACTCTGTTAATGATTACACACTAAGTTAGCAGCTTCGGCTTGGGGCCTGTTGTTCAGGCTTCTGTATTTCAGTGCTTTAGCACTTTTTACATCAGCACAAGTGGTTTGTTATAACTTAGTACAATACCTACTAGCACAATGGTTATCAGTTATAAAATATAGAGGATTCATCTCTAGGTCAGCTCTGGCTTGGGCCTCTTGTCCAAGCCTGAGCACTTCAATGGAGGACTGTCTCCTGTGAGAGGGACCTCACACTGGAGCAGGGGAAGAGTTTGAAGTCCTCCCCTTGAGGAGTGAGTCAGCGGCTGTGTGGTGCTGAGTTCCTCTGCTCTCTGGTCTTAAACCACAACATACAGGATTAGACCTGGCAGTAGAATGCAATGACATATCTTCTAGAGAGTTTACAACAGACCTTTTGAAGGAAGGTATTTATATTTTTCAGAATGTATAAACACTTCAGGTTTCTGTATAGATATCACATACTATTTCTACAAAATATTGTTTTTCTTGAACTTTGTCATGAACTAGAGGCACTCTCACCTTTAATGATTTATGAACTGGTGGGACTGTTGCCTTAAATGTGCTGTTGTCTTCACCTATAAGCACATAAAATACTGTTTTATCTTGGACTTTTTAGTGACTTGTGAATGCTGCTATAAAATAACCCTTATAGCACAATATATCACCAGAAGGTTGTACTGTAACTCAGCTGCTGTGCTTTGCTCTCCACTTCTGAAGAGCTCCAGACTGTCTGCAGATCACATGCAAAGAAATCCTACAACAGAAAGAAACTCATTTTGGGCTCAGATGTATTGCAACCGGATCCTGAGCAGGAGCTTCCTGCACACAGTTTCTGTCACACTTTGTTAGAGGCATTGGGACTGATTTTCTGAACTGGTGACTGCCTGATGCCTCTTACATAAACCACATTTTGATTCAAGAAAGTTTAAGGCCAAAACTCTGTATTCAAGGTTGTGTAGGAGAGGAAATCCAGCACATAGTGACTAACCCTCACCCTACCACTGCAGGTAGACTGACCAGCATGTGGTCTGAGAGCAGGGATGTAGGAGCAGATACAATTCAGAGTGCAATTATGTACTACAAAGAAGTCCATATATTTAATAGTGGAAAGGGTGTTAAATACTTTTCAAAAGTTATTTTGCAATATGAAGACTTGCTTAAAATTTTTGTGAGGTTTTTTTTTTTTTTTTTTTTCTTTTTAACCTTGTGTGAGTTTCTTTTTCTACGCAAATGCTATGTTACATAAATGTTAAAAAGATGAATGGCAGGGATCCAGATCTTTGTACAGAGCAATTGTTTTTCTACTGCTAAGGTAGAAAATCAATAGTGCATCAAATCTGCTTTGTTCTTGAATCACTAAGGGCTTTGGTTCCAGATGGGTACATAAAAAAATTACTTACCTCAGCTTGCATGTATATATTAAAAAGAAAAAAAACCAACCAGATAAAAAGGCAGCACTTTAAAGCATGCTTATTTTAAAACATTTTATTCATCTTACATGTCATAAAGATCAAATCTAATCTAACCCGGGAAACACTGCTTCATTTTCCATCAGGAATCTCTGCCCATTTAGTAGTGGCATATAATTTGGTATTTATGTTTCAAAGCCCTATTTTTTCTATCACTATTATACACTCTAAAATTTAATATGATTATAGTAGGGACACAGAGAAAGCTATCCTTAACTTTTGCCAGTGTTTCTATAAATATTGCCTTTGATAAATATTCCAGTAGACAGAGGGACAGAGAATGTAATAAAAAGGCTAAACTGATGGAAAACTAATACTTGATTTTAAATTCATGAGTCTGTATGAAAATTCTAAAAAATGTTTAGCAATTTTTCTTATCTCAGTTACTTAATCATTGATTTGAAACACCTTACTGTATTTGAATTGTCAGAAGCTATGTAGCTGATCTTTAAAGAACATGACAGTATACTGTCTTAAACTGGGACCTCTGCTGAGGTGAATAACATTTCCATTCACTGATGGAAGCTTTGCCCCGATGCAGAAGTTTCAGAATTGGAAAAAATGGCCTGAATGTTCAGCTGTTTCTGAATATTTTAGTCCCAGAAGATTTATCCATAAAATTTATTTCTGGTAGAAAACACCATTTTCTGCAAAAATCATCAACTTAATAAGTGTCAAATAGCAAATAGACAAATATGTTAGAAAGGGAAATTAAAGTTAAAAACCTTAGAGGGAGTAGAGTTCTCTGGGACTTTTGTTCTTAATTTTATCTACAGTCTGACTTTGTTTTTGTTTATGTCAATGGAAATAATGTTTTATATTAAAAATGAGTTGTGCTTCAAATAGTATTTGGATGTCTCCCTAACGACCTGACTTGTAGATGTTTATTTGCTAAAAATGAAAGAATCTAGATAATTTTACAAACTTAGAGGTACTTCAATTAATACCTCTAGGTGAAGACAGTGTCCCAGCAACAGTTTTGGAAAGACAATCAATTTTGTTATGATAATGCTTTTCTTCTAACCCAAGTGTTGAACTCACAGCACACAGAGTCCAACCACTCTTTAGTATATATGTAATATAGTAACAGAGGAAACACAATTCCCTATCTGTCTGAAGAAGGTAAATGGTATAAAATATGGTGCTTCCTATTACAGCAGTAATAAATATAGCAATGCACACCATAGCTTAACAAATCAAATCCTCTGCATTTGCAGGGAAACATACAGGGGACTTCCCCTGGCCCTCACTACACCCGATTTCACATTCCTTGAGCCAAAGCCCTCCCTAATGTCTGTAAACATATGTAAAATTTGTAGTAAAACACCAAAACCCAAAACTTTAACAGACATCAAGGGGATACCAAGGGAATAGTCAGAGTCCTAGGTCCCTTCCTACAGGTGATCCAATAAGCAGACCACATGTAGAAGAGAAGGAAACATTACATGGAAGGCTCTCCTTTTTCCACTTGTATCTGAATTCTAAGTCAAGCAAGGCAAATGAGAGTGGTAAATGGTATTGCTGTTCCTTTACATCAAACCACAGTATTTCTCAGCCATTTGGCAAAAAAAAAAAAGCATACAGAAAGCATAAAGAGAACTACTGACTACCTTTGGAACAGAAGTTTTGAGCCTCTGCAGTCCTCCCAGTTGAGAGCCTGTATTGGTGGTCAGTGATTTGTTTTGTTTACTTCATACTCTGCAATGTCTTTAGACAGGGAATGGCATATAGTTGTGTCTGAATGATACTTTGATGAGAGTCTGGTGGAACATGCCAGATATCTTGATGCAGAAGAATGTCACATACGACTACAACAGTTTCAAGCTACAGTTAAAAACCAAGTTTGGCACAGCATAAGGGTGGGCAAGAAAGAGATGGAGGTCAAGCTTCCCCACAGTTTCACTATCTGCAGTCTTAAGAGTGAGGAGGCTGCCTCTGACCTGGAGTGGGCGGAATTCCATGTGCTGGTATCGAGACTTAAAAAGCATGCTATTTGTGTCACTCTCTGCATTTTTTCAAATCCTTTAGTACACTGCCATGTCCCTTCCCAAATACTGCAGCGAGGTAAGGATTAGGTAAAATCTGGTCATAGTTTTTTATCTATCTATCTATCTATCTATCTATCTATCTATCTATCTATCTATCTATCATTGTTGGTTTTCATCTTGTCTTTTTCTGTACTTTTAAAGCTTTTTTTTTTTTTTCCGCCACTGGAAAATTCATGTTCTAGGAATCTGGATGTCTTGATGTGGTTGGCTGGGTGTGTTCGGGGTTTTTTGTTTTGGCTTTTTTGGGGGTTGTTTTTTTGTTTGTTTGGTTTGTTTGTTTGTTTTCTGTGTTTTGTTTGTTTGTTTTTTTTGATTTGGTTGGGTTTGTTTTAGTTTTCAGAAGTGTTTTTTCAACTAACAATTTTTGCTATTGTAATAAAGCTGCCATTCTCACCAGTGCTTCTGGTAGTGTTTCTCAGCACTTTCATATGCAGGCTCTAGGAATAAGTCTTCAAGCAAATTTCGTGAGGGAACATGCCTCCTGGCTGATGAGAAAACAGGTCTTTTTTTATCACATTAGTAGTAGCAAGGGCAACACGATGGGAACTAGTTCTTGCCTTTTCCCACTGAGATAAATTTCATTCTCTTATAGAGATTCTGTCTGTAGTTATTCTGAGATAACAAAATCAGACTTACACTGTCACACAGATCTATTCATATACTAGTTGCAATAACAGATAATATGTTTAGAATTGAATTACCACTAACATAATCTGCCCAACAAATGATTTTCCTACTTGTAGTATATATTATAACTTTCACATTTCATGTGATTTAGTATACAGCAAAGTCAATTACAGTTAAGTTTCCATTCAGACTTCACACTACAACTTCCAAGGCGAAGAAAGGTTATTGTCCAATTGAGAAGTGAGGAGAAACTAGAAAACTGACATTATATCATGTGTGTTTTGGCCATCATTTGCTTCTCGCAAAACTCACTACACTATTTTCAAAAGTTATTTAGTTAGTTAAAAATTTATTTATAGAAAACCATATTCTTATACATAATACTTCACTGTGTCTTAAAGCCTCTCATTTGCAAATGAAACAGTTAAGAATAATGGGAGAATCCAGTCTTAGAAAAAAAACACACGCGGAGAAAGGTGGACAAGTGCCATGGGGAGGAGAGAATGGCTGAACACATGGGTTTATGTGAAGGAAGGGATGGACCAAGGAGAGATCTGTGAGAACCCTTGTCAGAGATCAAAGTTAGCTGGAGGGATGAATGTTTATTAAGGGAGGCAAAGACCCTCCCCTCAAACATACATATCTTCCCACAGTTTCTGAAGCACACGTAATTCTTCCCAGAACTCTAAATGTTCGGTGAGGTATCCTAGACTCCTCAGACACACCTCAGGCACTCCTGTTCTCTTTTGCCTCATCCCTCTGACCTCTCTACTGCTGGCAAATCCAGTCTACTTTAATATAATTTTAATAACATGGAAAGAACTGGATGAAGGAATAAAAATTACAAAAGGAGGTGCTCCAGAGAATAAGCTATGGGGAATGCAGTGTTAGATCTGCTTCTAGCTTTTGGATAAATGGCTTTTTCAACAAAGATCACAGGTTTTCATGAACATCTCACCTTTTTCTTGTTTTTCAGCAAGAAGTGCATGAAATGCAATAGAAGTGATCAGTCCAGGGACACTCAGAGCAAGAGAACTTGATTAATAAGCAAATAATACAGTAATTAA